CTCAATTTTGAGACGAACACTTTGTAATACACTGCACTAAGAAGGTGGAAGTGGAATTGTCATCAGATTGACAGCTGCATATGAGTGAAAACAAGAAAGACTGATTGACAACCATGACGAAAGTGGATTTGGGAAGTATATTCACGTGATCTCACATCATGCATCCCCATAAATGTTGGGCTTTTTGAGGAATCTTTGTATATCATGCCATAGAATAGATACAAAAGATATACAAAAGATATATTGAGATGAAGGTGCGGAAATCTCAAGGAAAAGAAACGATGTAAACTATTCGAGAACGGCAGACTTTCGCGGTGTTGGTAAAGAATTGGCTGCTTTGAGAGAAAACTCGATGTAACAAACACAGTAAAGCAAACAGGCAAGGACCCCAGAAAGCAATAATCCTCGTCGCAATCCGCGATGGTCCTTCTCGAACTTGAGTCCTTGACCTTAGCTCTGCGTCATACCTCACACACACCCCGCTTTCCATATAGGCATTCAATCTTCATCCGTCTGCATCGGCGATAGGGTGGTTCTGGGGTAGTCCCTCACGCGTAGCCTCTACTACCCCACATCTGCTCACTGCCCCCTAGCAGCTCGAAAACACTTAGTCACTCTCTGTGTACTTTTAAGATGGACCCAATCCTGGAAATACTAAAACGAGTCCCCGGTGATCGGAATGGGCTCCCTGGTATCAGGTTTATTTTCCCCATATTGACACGCTGTGTGATCTTTCCTGCAGTTGAATCGCTCGTCAGTAGTGCGAGGCCTTTCCGTAGGCACTTTATTAGCTCACTTATCCTTGGGGCGAGTACCTACCTAAAACTCTATTGATGGACGATTGTTTTCCGATTTTGATTTGATCTGGTAATCACAAGTCACTCAACGGACCATTCGCAACATTTTCTCCGAATGCCCCCGCATCAGGGAACAGGGGTGTTTGCGGGGGATTTTAAAGTACGTGCAATACTGTCGGAAAATAATCAGTGGGTGAACGCTAAATTGTAGAGGAGGTGCTCTGAAATTTAGCGATTGCTTTTTAAAGCACTCGATATCCCCCCTACCTTTAAGTGCTGGAATCCCCCCTAACCCCTTTAACGCTACCAAATCGCATGCTCATACTCCAAAAGAAATTAGAGAGACAATTATAGGGCTGGAATAATTGATCCTATTGATTAAAATTGTCAGAAGCGCATTTGTGTGCACGATTCGATTACAAAAACTCTTTGTTGCTACAAACTTAAAAATGTTTTTCCGGCAATAGGCAAGATCTTACTTCCTTAATCGGAAATCTTCCGTAGTTGACGAGAAGTATCTATTTGTCCGAGGCAAGGACATTGCTGCAAAGGGGGCTAGCCATATATCACTCCGGCAAATGAACATCGCAGACGATTTTGCAAGCACAGCTATTAAAGCATTAGAGGAGGGCTTTTCTTTAGGCCTCTTAACCTCTCCCCCCCAGAATCTACTTCATCTCAATCGAAGATGTGGAGCCTAAAGCCTGTTTTAGTTATAGTTCTGTCTTTGTCTCTAAGCCTTATTGATGCTCAACTCTCAGGTTCGGTTGGTCCATCTACGTCCGCCGCCAGCAAGGCTGCGATCAAAGTCTGCAACGTACTCAACTATGGCGCCAAAGCTGATGGCACAACCGACATTGGCGCTCCTTTAGTTTCGGCTTGGGCAGCGTGCCAGACTGGTGGATTGGTGTATATTCCATCTGGAACGTATGCTATGTCTACATGGGCCGAATTACAGCACGGATCTAAAGTTGCAATCCAGCTTGATGGTACGATCGTCCGTACCGGGACTGCTGGTGGCAATATGATTGCTATCAGTAACACTGATGACTTCGAATTCTTCAGTGGGACGTCCAAAGGTGCAATTCAAGGCTACGGATATGAGTACATCTCCCAAGGCACGTATGGAGCGCGTTTTATACGCTTCACGGATACTTCAAATTTCTCCCTGCACGGTATTGCATTGGTGGACTCGCCATCCTACTATACCGTCTTCGACACCTGCTCGAACGGGGAAATATATAACATGATTCTTCGCGGTATCCAAATTGGAGAGACAGATGGAATCGACATATGGGGCACCAACATTTGGGTTCACGATGTTGAAGTCACGAACGGAGATGAGTGTGTCACGGTCAAGAGTCCGTCAAAGAATATCCTCGTTGAAAGTGTACACTGCAACATCAGCGGTGGTTGTGCCATGGGCTCGCTTGGTTTAGGTACGGACGTGTCACTCGTCCACTATCGCAACATATATGAAAATGGGGCTGGGGGCCATTACATTAAATCATACGGCGGTACAGGGACTGTCACTAATTGCGTTTTTGAGAACTTCATCATCCATGGCAGCGCGTACACGCTTACCAACAATGAGTACTGGAATCATGACTCTGGCGGGACTGGTGTTATCGTTAGTGATATTACGTACACGGTAAGGCTATCTCACTCCAGCTCATGCAAAGATATGTGCTGTATCCAAGATTTTACTCATTCTATGAGATGGCTGACCACAAGGCAGAATTGGAAAGGGACGAACATCGACAACTCTCGACCGGTGATTCGCTACCAGTGCGCAGACACGGCACCCTGCTTCGGCATCACTATGAGTGACATCAACCTCTGGACCACGGATGGCACATCCGTGACCTGGGAATGCGAAAGCGCTTATGGTTCGGGTGGATGTTTGCGAAACCCAAGCGCGGGTACAACAAGCTATGCCGCATCATTCACAACCATCAAGACTGCACCGTAAGTTTTCTCCTCTCCCTTCCCTCTGTTTCATAGCACTGATGCATCTTGATAGAGCTTATTCAGCCTCGACCATGCCTAACGACCACGCCGCGGCTTATCCTTCCACTACAAGCTTCACCATCCCAGCGGTCCCGACGACCTTTTTCCCAGGCCTCAAACCATCAAGTGCCCTTCTCTCTCTAACGACTTACGCTCGCCGCGAGGCTGAAGCCGAGCCTACAGCTGCGCTCGTCATGAAATCTTTTCGAGCTTGATTCTCAATTCTTCTTTGGTCTGTGTAGCTGTCCAGGCTAGGGCCAGTTTGGCGTGTAAAGTCCTGTGTTGAATCACGTGGCTTAGCTACTCTTGCTATACATAAAGCATTTGTGCCGGGGGGCAAATGGAAAGGCACGTTTAGGCCCAAGTGACTCCCAATGAGTGCTTTTGTTGATTCTATTGACGCCCTTTTCGCCCTATTTTACATACCGAAGTTCTGGACCTGGTTCACGTTCCATGGCATGGCGAACGTCCCTCACATCTCAATTACGATTCCCCCTTGTCTCTCGCCAAGGAGGTTTCCTTGGGGATGGTGGCCTTGGGAACAAGTCCAGCACGTAATTCTGGGCCGATGGTTCGTCCATTGGCATTGACAAGGTCAATCCCATACTAGGTGAAATTTACTGCTCTTGTCTCGTAGTTGTTTTTTGGTATCAAAGCTCTCGAGTTCAACTTGACACTGTCATTCATTCCATTCGGTCGCTTCCACCGCAATATGAACACGCCGAGCTTGCCCAGCCCCACGTTTCGCCCTTCATTTCAGAAGAATTGAGGTACTTGTCAGGAAAATCCCTCTGGCCGTTCAATCTTGACTCTCCTTCTTTCTCCTTAGTCTGGAACCACACGTAGCATTTTACTACTGACTTAGTTCGAGCTTGAGGATCCTGTAATCAAGAGTTCTCCTTCGCGCACCAAGCTGGACGGAATTGGGTGAAGAGTTTGTCGAGATAGACGTCCAGTTCTAGCATGCTCAAGACTTGGACGAAAAACGGTTCGCAGGCTCATAGGAACAAGAGCTCTTTCCACGCTTGCCGTGAATCCTCGCTGGGGACATTTAAGTGGAGGTCTGGCAGATTCATTCGCCATAGTCGATCCAACGGAGTCTCGCGCTCCTCTGAATAGGCGTCTCCTTCAGCTACACCAAGTCCAGCCATTCGCTTTCTTCCAGATTCCAAAAGGATAGGCCAAACATCCCCCGACACCATACGGCCATAAGCTTCCGTCCAGTATGTCACTAGTGCAATTCTGGCTTCTTCAAATGAGTCCCAGAATGCCTTTCCATTCTGGGTGTATTTCAATGTTTCGTTAACCTTGGCCAGAATACTCTCGCATATGGCCTTCTGGGTGCCGAATTGCCCCTTGTTATCAATATTCCGATCCAGTACCTTCGTAGCATGGTCAGCAACAAGAAGCGTCAGCTGGATGCCGAGGTTCATAAGACGGCGAAATCTCACGTCTTCGGCACCATACTTGTCCCGACCTGGATCGATGCTCGGAATGTTGATAAAAGCGTGCTCTTCGTTCACGCCCGCATCGCTCGGTCCCGTATGGTGTCAGTTGTAACCAACTTTGATGAGCCTGTACAAATACGTGGAAGCTTTTTTTGCAGATGTTGAATGCTTTTTTGACCATGGCCGTCTGGGCACGTGATGGGGAAAGAAGGACACTCTTCCTAAAGAGCAAACAAAGGTAAAGCAAGCATGGAATCAAGGCAATACGCACTGCATGTGAAAGTGACAGCAACTACAGGCTTTCCTGAGTTCAAACGCCCTCAGGACGCAGATTATGATCTCGAGGCTTTGGTGTTCTGGACCTTCGGCTAGTGCTGCGAGTGCTTATTCCCGGTAAACCACAAGAAAATCTCTAGGAAAATAACGAACAGACATAATAAAGAAAGGAAACGTGGAGAAGAAACTTCTGGTTCCATTCTATCGTTTGAGACCTCATAATGTGTTGTACGAGAGTTGGAGATGCCCAATATAATTAAGTGTTTGACCAGTGTGGCGCAGCACCCCACTCCCGCTTCGAGCAGTGGAACACTTCCAGTTCCAGGCAAAATTTGATGACAAAGAGTTTTCTGCCACTCGGTTAGCCCAGTCAGGGTCAGCTAAGCCACCACAGATGCCCAAACTTAACAAATTTACCGTATAGATTTAAATAAGCCAAAGTACAAGCATAACAAGCATCAAGCATTAAGTCCCGTTGGTCTAGTGGTATGATTCTCGCTTAGGGTTTACCCTAAGTTTAAATGCGAGAGGCCCCGCGTTCGAATCGCGGATGGGACCGTGCGCGCTATTTTTTGCCTTTTCTATCCTTTCTGGATGATAGATCGATCATACTTTGTGTTTGTTTCAATCCTTTTGATGATTGGTTGATTAATTTTTGATTTTGAAGATTTCTCGATCTGGCGGTGTGCTGCGTCAGCATTGTCCGTGATATTGGAACACGAATACGGGACTGATACGCTAGCGTTCTTCTAAGCGAGCTCCTAAGGAACATCAAAAACAGCTGTCACAGAAAGTTTCTCATCGATTTTACAAACGTTGCTACCAGCTCCAACACACATTTCTGCCCACCTTCTTCCCTTTTATTTTCTCTCTCTCTAAGACCTTGAATACCGAATCTCTTTAATTTCGATACTTCCACTTACTCGGAGATAGTCCTGTTCTTCGCGCAATCGCCTTCTTCCATATGTCCAACGCTAAGATGTAACCTCGCTTAATTTAGGGGGGGCGAGTTTCTCCATT